TTTTGACTTGAGCCATTGGCATTAGATCCATTTATGCCATGCCCTCATTACTCTCTCACCTATTTAGTCACCCATATCTCACATAAGTATGTTCAGCTGGGTTGGTTCAGCTGGGTTCAGCTGGGTTGATCATCAAAGTGTATAAAAACATAAATTTAATTTTTAAATTTCTAGCAAAATTTTAAAAGTTTTTGCCTTCTGACTTACATAACTATATTCAAGCACCCATCTGTACATGCACATCAAAAGTATGCAAAATTAATTTAAAAAATAAAAATTAACAATTGGCAGCTACCTGGGAAAAAATGTCTTAGAAGGGCACCAGTATAAAATATATATCGGCTCTCAAAATTCAGGATTTTTTTTAAGTCTCAATTTTGTGTCCTTAGTGTCCATAAGTTATGATTAATGCAAAATTTTACCACAATTAAAATTATTTTATATACCCAGCCTTCAAAGGGTTAAGTTCCTTACAATCTAATTCTTTCTTCCTTCTTTGCCAAACTCACTAGAGAAAATCAGCTATACGGCTTATAAAAGCTTATTTCAGCTTATGAAGGAAAATCTGATATACCGACAAAAGAAAATTAGTGTAACTTCTCATTCCAAACAAATGACTTCACACACAACCACTCGAGAACTGAAAGTGTGGTCTAGGCCAATGTCAACTAGTCTGTTGTCATTTGGTTACAAAATGATTTCATAGCCAGCAAGTTTTTTTGAAAGTTATATGCAAGAATCTCAGTTGGGAGAAAAATCGCCTTTTGTCACAACAGCATTTTTTTGAGTTTATATTCATAAAGTTTGTAAGGTAAATAAATTTTAAAAAGAAAGAAAGAAAAATCTCTTCTGGTAGTCATTCTGGACATGTCCGGATTTTGGACTTTGTGCTGTAACCCAGTTATTCATAAACTAAGTAATCAGGTTGTCTTTTTCTTTTGCACACTAAATTCATAGTTATAGTATGGAAATAATTATTTTCCTGCTGGAGTTCCCAAAACCAATACCATACCAGGACATGTTTGATGTTCATTAATTTTTGCATCAATTGACATAATTTGTAAAATATAATATGCTATATTCAGTATGATACTAAATCATAAAGAGTTGTTAAAATAAATAGATCTTTTTCAATATTATAAAAGTTTGTTACTTATTTGCATACAGAAATGAAACTTAGTATTTCTAAAACCTCTTCTTGTGCATGTAATCCTCTGCATTCAAAGTAAAATGTAATGGTAATAATATAATCTTGTAGCAGTATATGGATTGATGCCTCTTTCTGCATATTTCATCTTTTAATTTTGCTCAAATTCTAATATGCTATCATAACATTTTGTACTCTGCTTATATGATTGTAAGCTGAGAAAAAGGAATGCAGGGAAAACAAACAAAATGCATTAACAAAAATAATATTTGCGTCTTCTGAGAACATTCTAGCTTCTGCAGACAAATTTCATCTCTTTATGTCAGGCATAATTGTTGGTTGGTGAGAAATTGTACTAGATTTCGGCCATCATGATATTTGCAGCTGTGTGCAAAGAATGACTGATTTAAAAAATTCAGAGTAAATATGAAAAACAAATATGTAATAAATTTTGCCAGATTAATTTCAGATTATGCAGGAGGTATAAGTGTCGATTTTTACTTCCTTGTACAAAGTAAAAAGGAAGTATTGTAATCGCGAAAAGTTTCAGGCAACATATTTCGACGAAAATATCCATTTTGACCGCTATCGAATGCAATTTAACGATGTTTTTGCATGATATCTGTACGTAAGGACAGAATAAAAGACTCGTTTCCTCCAAAAAAATTATAAAACTGCTTAAAAATTAATTCTGAAGAGAATTTTCTGTGGCATCTGTACGAACATATGTACGTACGTGTGTACGTATCTCGTATAACTCAAAAACGAGTAGCCTCAGAACGTTGAAATTTTGTATATAGGACTGCTATAACATGTAAATGTGCACCTCGTATTTTGGTTGCAATCGGCCGCACCAAATGTATATAAATATATTTATATATATAATACTATATCCACTTTGTTACCCGGCTCAGTGATCTCAGTTTCTTTACTCTTATATGTTTGTAAATTGTACATTTTTTGCTTTAAAAATGATTGAATTGTGTTGTTTTTATCTTCTGGTTAAGGTTTTTATGCCTTTAGTAAATCTGTATGCAATATTTTTAGAATTATCAACAATTTTAAAGTTGTTTAAGTGCCGCTAAGCCCTTTTTTTTATGGCAGCCATTGATTGTTTACATTTGAAACAGCAGACTTGTGGATTTGTTGCTAATCTAGAGAAACTTAGCTTCGCAACAACAAAGATAACGCCTTCATTTATTATTGCCAATTAAATCATGCTTAATCCTTTCTGGAATTTTTCGAGGAAATAAGTGTTTAAGATTTACTTCGTAATTTTTTAATATAGATATTTTGAGTTTTTATGTATTTTTGCCTTCTCGCGAAGGGAGAACTGAATTAATTGAATGAGAAAATACTCAATCGTCTGTGAAAAAACTGTTTCTTTTTTGTTTTGTTTGCTTAATTTCTTTTATACATCATTCTAGCTTTATTATATTATTTGAATAGAACATGTGGCAACGATTAGATAATTATATCTTTTAAATGATATAAATTTTGTGCATTCTGTGTTATAATATGAACGAAATATAATACTGTTAAGTGAATCTAGCGCCAGAGTGTCGCTATGGTAAACAAATACTAGAGTGAATTTTAAAGAATGCATTTATTCCATTGTGGTTTATGCGCTGTCGGTGAAGTAGATTTAATTCAATCCAATATGTTTAAATGAAATGCAAGAAAAAATGCGTATAATTTAATATTCCGTACAAGGAAGTCATGTGGTGTACACATGAGATTTTTATTTATCTGAAAGCATTTGCATCTTCTCATGCAATCAGCCCTCATGAATTTGATAGGAATCCAAATGGTGGTGCTAGTGCTGTGCTGATGTTTATGTTTTGTTATGGATAAGGCGTCTGACTTCAAGTCACTGATGGCACCACAATTGAGAACAAATAATAATGCTCTGGGTGTAGTGCCATACATGAACTGTGGCATAAAGTACAGTACAATACAAAGTTCGTAATCCGGACTCGTTGGGACTTCGGCGATTCCAGGTTAGAGGTTTTTCTGGTTTATAGATCATCAGTTTAAATCTGGTAAGATGGCATGCAAAAATTATACAATTAAAAATACGAAATAAAGAACAAGTTTGATCTAAAGGGTATCAAAATTTACAAAAAAAAAAAAAAAAAAAAAAAAAAAAAGGAAAAAATAAAGCTTAATATTTATTTGTTTATTAAACATTTCTTTCAATGTAAGTTGTTTAAGATGTTTTTTTCAAAAAGTTCCTTTTTCTTGTGTCATATATAGTGGACTTTCCAATGCTATACTTCTCACATAATTTTGAGACGGATAGGCCTTTATCCATTTTTTGAAGCAATTCCACTTTTTGTTTAATGGACATCGAAACATGCTTTCGCTTTGTAGATCCTTTGGCAGCTCCAGAATTGGAAACTCTTTTTGACCTAATCGAAAGTTCAAGCTTAATTTTTATAAAATTGTTCTAACAGTCTGCAAAAAATAATAAGCTGGATCCAATTAGAAGATTAAGGAACAGCGCAAACTGCATTAACTGAAATGCCTTAGATAATTTTAGCTTAGCTTATACTGTCTGTTATACATTAAACGCGCGTTCATAAACGCATTATGCACATGCATAACCGCACATGCGCACAAAGTTTGTAGCTTTGAGGTCCAGATTATAGATCATTCCGGATTACAGACTTTGTACTCTAGTACAGGAAGACATTAAAATATTTTGCTTGCATATATAATGTAAAATTTTTTATTTTAACAAATAACTGGTATATAATGACAAACTGGATGTCACGTCAAGATCATTTTCAAACCGGTACAGTCACGGTCAGACCAGGTCGTCTAATAAGCCCATTTAAAATGATTGACATATGATTATATAAAATAATTTCTCTTATTTCCAACTATAAATTCAATTTATTAAAAACTTAAATAATTGTTTATCTGGGTCGCACAGTAGACGTAAAACTGTCAGTAGGTACAGTGGTACCCATCGGCATAGGGTTGGTCCTCTGCGCAAACGTCTCTAGCAGCAACGAACAGTGTGACAATGAGATCTTGTTCAGAGTCAGTGGGGATGTCGTAAATGGTGTTTCTCAGAGTCCCCCACAAAAAGAGATCCAATTTTGATAAAAGTGACAATCATGGTGTCCAGCAAACTAGTCCTGATTAATCCCTTACTATTCATTGCCACATACTTCAGGCGATATATGCAAGCTCTGTGTTTGTAAAATGATGCATCATGCTGTAAATCCCATTGGGAAAAATGAAGTGTTTATTATATGCAGATGTTATCGACTGCTGTAACCTGGGTCATCTCTTGGAGCTCTAATGCATCATTTGCAGACCCAAATTCTATGAATAGAAATATTCATTTGGTTCCTGTACCACCTTAAAAAATTTGCTAGATATTTTTCGAGCGCCCTGTATGTACACGTCTTGTAAGGTTGGAAATAAATTAAAGAAATTTTATCATGAAATTATGGTAAATAGTATTAAAATATTGCGTGATAGAATGTTAAGATTATTTGTTAGTAAGTTGTTAGGTGTATGTTGCTTTATTTGTATTGCCATATAGAATTCTGCACAAAATTTTAGTCATAATCTTTTTTTTATCAGCAAAATTATAGTGCTTAAATACACTGGGATTTAACTTAATTTGCCTATAGAAGACATTTGCATGTTATTTATATACATGATTACTGTTCAAAGTCCCTCCCCCCTCGTTGCATTATGAAAGTCGCTAAAATAGGTAGGTATCTTTAGAAAAGATTCTGCATTGTATTTGACCTAATACAGTTCTATACTGCAGATACTTTTACAAATATATACTGGATGTAATTTTTAATGTATCATTTTCATATTGTTGCAGCTCAGAATCAAGATTCTGTTCGCATTGATACTAGAACCTTTACAAGATCAAAAAAGAAACAAGCTATAGAATTCCTTACTAAACTTGATGTGATTAATGGTGAAAAGAGTACAGATAAAAGCATTCTAGCTGAGCAACTACACAGGAGAGGAAGCGATATGAGTTCCGATTCTCTGTCCAGTTGCCATGTCTTAGAAGATGCTAATGATGTACAAGAAGTAGCTCGCATGCAAGAAGAAAGTATGATCTTTTTAGAAGATTTATTTTGTTGCCTATAGATTTTCTAGATATGCTGCATCTTCTACATTCTTTTTTTTTTTATTAGGTTTAAGAATGAGTTCCCCTTTGGGCACTCCTAAACGTGGATCATGTAAGTACGGAAGTATTTATAATTCTGAAATTCCTTTAATATTTTTAGTTAGTTTATGTGGCTTAGGAATGTTTTGAATATTTTTTTTTCAGTGAACAGTCTTTCTAATCGCAAAATATCTACATCATCACGAGGCTCTGTGTCTGACCAAGATATATCTGAAAATTCAGTATTTGGTACCCAAAGTAATGAGCAAGGTATTGCTGTTTATGACCTTTTATAGTGCTATAAAATGATTTGTAGTATGTCTGATATGTAAACAATTTACGTACAATGAGCCCTTTCATAATGACCATCATCTCTAGATGCTTGCCTTTAAAAGTGACTTGTATTTCTTAGAATGTAAACAAATATTGCCACGAAACATTACATAATGCTAGAATTGCTGGAATAATGAGTGGTTCGGTGTGAGGAAATGTTTACATATAATTTCTTTCTGAGTATTAACTTTTTTTCATATGCAGCTAACCATTTAAATATTTTAATGTATAATAGCTATTTAAAAACTATCTACACTCAAATGATGTATGAAAATGTGACAAACAGCAACATTGTCATTTATGTTTTTCAATTTAAAACAAATAATATTTTTCAGGTAAAAATGTAGTTTCTCCTCATCAGTAAAAGAAGAACATGCATAGCATTGCTTTTAGATTATTTGGGATGCTACTGCTTTGCTGCAACTTAGGTTTTTTTCTGTTAGACTCTAAAGCATGGTCTAATTTTTAATTCTTCAGAAGGTCCTGAGATCTTCATGTTTCTAAGCAAAGAATTTGTAGTTCTTCATTGGTAAAATAATACTAAGAAATGAATTTATTTACCTGCTTCTGGGCTGTTTTGGACAGTGTTTTTTTTTTTTTAAAATCTTTTTTTATTTATCTGTTTTTAAAACAAAATGTAAAACAAATTTAGTTTCATGTTTAATGGGTGGCAAATTCATATATCCTGTACAAGTGTCATGGAGGACATTTTTCAGTCCATGTACTTGTTTGGTATGTAGGAAGTTTGTTAAACTAGTCATGACTGTATATGTAATTCTATGAATCTGTCGAATTATCATGTAAGCTGTTAAAGTCTGAAATTTTATATTTCCTAGTCTAAATGTGTTTTGTATTAAATATAAAGTGTTTAATTATATGTTAAATGACTTTTAAATTATATGAGTGACCAAACAACCAGATTGGACTTCTGTTGTTGAAAGGGATTTGATTTACTCCAGCATGATCACTGCTTGTTTCTGATGTATCATGTAATTTTTTTCATAAGCTGTGTTGTTTTAAATAACTTATTTATTTAAAAAAAAATGTTTGAAAAGTCGGGCAGTGAATAATTTGAAAGTTTGGAAAAACTGAATTTAGGCAGTATCAAATGGTAACTCGAGATCATGGGAATACTAGAAAAACATATTATTGTTATTAAACATAGTTATGTTATTAAACATAGTTATTGGTAGCTTTAAATAGAGGTTTCGGGTGAAATGAAAGGACAAAGAAAGAAGCCATATTGGTGAAAAAATAGCATCTTTATTGATGTAATGTGCCATCCTTGTTTCTTTTTAAGATCTTTCTTTTTAAATGCTGAAGAATTGTTCCTGATAAGCAGTTGTAGTTCCAGGTATCTCTCCCCACTGAAGTTAAATCTATCTGAAGGTAACCTTTTTTAGTCTGTCAGTGAGGCACAAAAAAAAAAAAAAAAAAAAAAAAAAAAAAAAAAAAAAACTTTATAATTAGCTGAGAAGAGGTAATTTGTGCGGATGTGTACAATGAGCTGAATCATGATGATGGAAACACTAAAATGTAGCTCTGCTTAAATGGACTGTTAAGTGTAGGGGAGACAGTTGCATGTATGTAAAATATAGAATGCTTAGAAGGAATGAGAAGTGTAGAGGAGAAAGTTGTGTGCGTGTAAAATATAGACTTCCTTTCTGAAGTGTTCATAACAAGCATCATTCTTATTATTTAGCCTTTTAATTGCTGAACATAAATACTTAATACATATTTTGATAGAGAAAAGTCCATAGATTTTTATACATTGCGTATTATTGCATGTTAAATGCTTGTTCTGACTTCACAAATAATTTATTCAGCAGTTAAAAGGGAAACCTCACCTTTGTGTAATTTTGGAAACAAATACTTTTGAAGATTAAAACTATGTAGGTCTTCTACTCATCTGCTGGTTTATTTTCGGGGGTTAGGGGAGTATATATAGTTGAAAATTTTTAAATTTTTGTCTGCTCTTGGAAAACCTAGCAAGCAGAACTAATGAAGCTTGAAAATCATAAAAAAGAAGGTAAAAAGTTTTATCCTCTTTAAGTTAAAAGTTATAGTTATCATGCCATGAATATGTAAATATATGTATAGGAATACCAGTGACTACTTTTAATAGCATGAGAATATGATGTGCTGTAAATACGTTTTTCAAGATATATGTGTATAAACTTCACATAGTGCCATTCATTTAGGTAAAGCTGCATCACAAACTGTTTGTGAATGGCTGCCACATGTAGACTGAATGTGAATATCAGTAAGAAAATGGAAGCTGTGTATGGGGGGGGGTACTTTTAGATCTCAAATGTGTATGTGCATTTTGGTGGCAAATGAAACATTTGTATTTCAGTAACAACATTAGTTAATATGGCTTTAGCCATGTGGTTGAAAATAGTCACTTTAACTCAATTTTATGTATATTTCAAGAATGTGAATTTCTTTCATCCTTCATTTTGTAATACATCATTAAAACTACTTTCATAGTGCAGTGTTGCTAAAAATTATGTTTACAAAATTACCCATCTCAGAGTTGCCAACTTTCTTTTGTAGACCTTTAGGCAGGAGACTCCCGATATCCGACATTTCTGCCAACCTGATTTACAACATATTTCTCACAACTTATTCTTAAAATTTCTGATGATTTTTATGTAGCTTGACTTAATACATTATGCACCTAAGAAAGTGATTTTTGGTGTCTGAAAGTGCATGGTTTTTCCTCTAGATTACATGTAAAAGGAAATGAAAGTCATTTCATCAGTGAGACATTATGGCATGCTTCTGCTTTGTGTGTGAGAGCATACGTATTTGAAAACGCCGTGTTCCAGTTCCCCTGTGAGGTCAAAAACTGCTGTGGGCCATCTGGCATATAGCATCTGCTGTGGGCCCATAAGCACAAAGTGAGATTGAGGTTATCGTTTTGTTTATCTCACCACTGAGCGCTATGAGTTTCACATTTTCAAGAGATATTTTAAGAAATTGAGTTTCTACAGAAAAATGTAAAATAGTCATGTACCTTTCAAAAATCATACACAGATAGATAACTTTCCTTCTATTATTTTGTCAAAGAAATATAATACATTTGTGATGTTCTTAAGCATGTGCGTACACAAAAACACAAGAGCAACATCAGCTGTGTTAAAAAAAAAAAAAAAAAGAAATATTAAATTCTGTGGAAACAAACTACCAAAAAGTTAATGCAGAATGCCCGTTCTCTTCTACTGGAGCACAACCTGCTGCTGAATACACTGGATCATGCTATAGCTCTTTAGAAAAATGTTTCTTGATATAGAAATTGCTAAGACATGCTTAATTATAAGGACAAAACTGGCTGCAATTGTTAAAGAAATGGGTGTAAAAAATAAATCTTCAGTTATTAATTGTATTCAAACAGCTCCCTTTTGCTTCTCTATGGATGAAAGCAATAATACCAATGCAAAACTGTATCCATTTGTTCTTTCTTTTTTTTTTTTTAATCTTCAAAAATTGAGTGTAGTTTATTTTGTGTCCTCACTTTAGGACATTTGACATGCTTTAATATATAGCACATCTAGCTATTAAAACTTTAAAAGAAAGTGCAGTTCTTCAGATTAACTTAGTGCCAACAATTCACCTGGAACGGTTGGCTGTAAGCCAACTGATCATCTTAAAAAAAAAAGAAAATTCATATTTGCAAATTATGAGGTGCTCATAACCTGCCAACTCTTAAATGTAGCAACTAAAAAAAAGGGGAACTTTCTTTACCAATAAAGGTGTTCATCACACATTGTTGATTTTATACACATTGTTGCCATCTTATAAGCTTTAAACTGATGATCTAATATTAAGAAAAGTCCCTAATCTGGAATCGCTGAAGTCCCGACAAGTCCGGGTGTTGGACTTTGTACTGTATATATATTTTTTCTATTAATTTTGAAGTTCGGAAAGAAATTTAATGTATTTTATATACGCTACTCTTTGTAGCTAATTAGTCTAATTTTTTGAATTATTGCAGCTGGATATGAAGTCATTGAAAATAACTCCTATCAAATAGATTCATTGCACTCGGATCAGTCATCGCCATCTGAAAGCCCATATGGATCTAATGCTTCATTAAATAATGCAGGGAAAGGCAAAGGTGATTTATTTTCTTGCTTTTCAACTATGAATGCAAATTTTGATTTTCAATAATTTTGTTTAAATTTTTAATCCGGGTAAAATTTTACTTTAATTACAATATTAAGTGATTATTTTTATTAATGCTTTTAAAATTTGTTATTTCATAGTTTGCCATTTTTAATTTGGTATATGCGTGATGTAATATTCTTTTAAATCAGGGTTTCTTAAACAGTGGGTCGCAGGACCTGCAGCAGGGTGTTGCCAAAAATTTTAGCAGTTTTGATATTTCTTTAACTTATTATAATTTTACACTTACCAAATATTTTAACACAATGTATCAGAAAATAGATAAAGATAAGACAAATACAGACAAAGAAAAAACGAAAATTTTGCGACGCATTCTGTATAATAATATCATCATTTGTTGCTGCTGTTCTATATTTAAAATTTTCACATTGTTCTATGTCTTAAAATAAGAAATTAAAGTTATTGACCCAAAACTGCAATAGTATATTACAGTACAAGTGAAAATATGGGCAATTACACTCACACGTTTGTCGAATTTGCGCTATGCTTATAGGGTCCCACAAAGTTTTCATAACTATTATGGGGTTCAAGGGTCGTGACTGAAAAAAATTTAAGAAGCCTTGTTTAAAAGCAAAATGGGGAGAAGGTAACTTTAATTACGATGGGTAAGTTACAAATAATTTATTCCCACCAAGTGATAATATACAATTTGGGAGAAATGTTTCAGTTGCTAGAAATCAAAGATTAAAGCAGTGAATAAAGAGAATATTTTATGTTTCAGTTTTATTCAAATGCTTCCTTAAGTCTTCATTTTGATGTCAGAACACAGTCTGTCAATGAATGTATTTCATCCGACTCATTTGATGGTTTCAGTACAGCAACTTTTTAGAATTTATTTCTTTTAATATGTTTGGTCCAAATATGAATCTTAATTTTTGGAATTTCATTTAAATAAACACAACTATCAATTAAAAGTCACTGTAATTTTATGCTCTTATCTCTTTGAATTTTTCAAATTGAAGCAAAATATAAAAACTAAAAAGAAATTATGCACATGGATTCGATAACTACTTCCATTCTCACACTCTGAGGGAAAAGTTAGCTGATTTTAACATAATAAGCAGAATGGATCAGAGGTTTTGTACTGAAATTAATGAATGATCAGTAACTAGTTAAATGTGGTACTTAGGTTACTGAAGAAATGTTTATTGCTAAAAAATGCATAAAAAGGAGCGAACTGCTCACTTCAACTTTTGTAACGTTTTTAGGCGCGTTCTGTATCAACCAGAGAATTTTATGCACTTCTATATTAAATACACGTTTAAATTGTTGATTTTGCAGTGCTTTTTCCGTTTATGATAAATTTGAGAAATATTGTATTCTATTACAGTGGTACTTCTAGATGCAAGTGTATGTGCATAAAACATATTCAGATACAAACATGCAGGCAATTTTTATATCTGGATATGAGTAAAAATTGGGATATAAGCTCAAGTGAGAAACTTGCTGTAAACAAAGCAAAGAGCAAGTTCACTTATTCGGGTCACATTACCTTGCAACAGACGCATCTCTGAATATTTTGTGCTCGTTTTCTCAATTCACATGTTTGTGCAGTTATTTTGCCATTATTATTAAAATGTGTTTATAACTATTACAATTATTGATTTTTAATTACTATTAAGATATATTTCTAACAATGGCTCCTGATAAAGTGACTAATGTAACCAGATGTCGTCTCTTGAAATCATCGATAAACATGAGCAAGGTGTACATAGTCAACTTGGCCAAGCAGTTTAAGCAAATACTTCTATGTTATGCGTGATGTTGAAGAAAATAGAGGCAGTAAAGGCTATAGTGCCAGCCAAGGGTATTACAAAAATATCAAAATAGCAGCCTTCTGTAAGTGAAAATATGGAGAAGCTGCTGTTGGTGTGGCTGAAGAAGTAACTCAAAGGAGATACCATGATTGATGTGATCATCTGCAATTGGACACAAGTTATATACACCTATAATGTGGAAGATGACTCTAAGCTCTTCAGATAATGAGTCTTAAGAGGCATTCAAGGTAAGTTGTAGCGAATTTGAAAAGTTTAACAGGCAAATTGGATTTGAATCCATCGTCAGGCATTGTGAAGCAGCAGAGTGGATCCTCAAAACATTTTTGGCCCTGATAGAAGCTGAAAGATACATCCTCCAGTATTTTTTCTTTATATTCTCTTTTATATGTTGTTATTATGTTTTATAAAGTATTTAATAGGCTTTTTTAAAATTACTATGCATTTATTGTTATTTAAAAACAACAAAACACTGTCTTTTTTTTTAAAAAACAACATAACAAACAAGAAGTAGTTTGGGGAACTGGATTGTATTAAAGTTATTTAAATGTATTTCAAAGAGAAAATTTTTTTCAGGATAAGTAGATTGACTTATAAGCTCAGTCACAGAATAGATTAAACTCTTATGCTGAGGTACCCCTGTATTAGCTTCTAAAATTGTAAATATATATAGTTGTAGTAGATGTGTGTGTGAGTTTTTCCAATTTTAACAATCAATATACTCCCAAAAGAATTATTTGAGTTAAAATTTGCTTAAATCACTGTATGCAATTGAAAAATTGTTAAATGTGAAGTTTTTTATCATAAAAGGCAAACTTCGTAGCATATTGAGAATTGATAATGTTGTAAAACAATTGTGTTTTGCCAGCCAATTAATTAGATATGATTTTAATTGTCTATTTACACTGATTTAAAGTCTAACTTTTTAGCATTATGTTCTTTTAAATGAGCAGAATCATTTGTAATTTTTTATGCATTATTTTTTAATTCAATAATTTTACTTTTTTTAAGGCTCCCAAACTGTTTTACTGTGAAGTTTATGGTTTAAAATAAAGTTATCAAGTTATTTATATTTTGCTTAGGTTACCGATAGCTTAATACTTAGTTTGCAAACTGTTGTCACAAATGTATTTTTATGTAATATACTAATTTAATTTCTTTACAATTCTAGAACAAGTACTTTCATTCAGTTCTATAAGTGTAGATTTTTGTAAAATATATTATGTGTTTAATGATTTTTCATTCTCCCACATCTTTATTATACATTCAGTCCATTATCAGTGTGTTGACTGCAACATGAAATGTGTACTATTTGCAGAACTTGGGCATGACTGTAATAATGAATCATCTTCCTTCAAGATGGTAAATTTCAGAATCCTCTGCATTCTAGCTGCATTTTACAAAAATAAAGTTTCTTTTTTTAATTAGCCTTTCACATGTTACCTGTTATATTAGTTCATAAGAGTGGTAAGTGTATACACCTTTTGTTTTAACTGTTATAAAATGAAGAGCAAACACTGACTACAAACATGTTGGCAACTGTAAATAGTAAATATTGTAAATGGAACTCATAAATCAATAGATACATGCGAATTACAATTCTACATGTATCCATTCATTTATTGTTGCATATTTTCATTCTAAGAATAAGTCATTTGGGGACTAGGAAAACAGCATTTTGAAATTTTGGAAAACCATAAAATAAAGTATATCAGGAAAGATAATCACAACTTGGATGGTAGGACATGGCAAAAATAGCAATTTTCATGGTGTCATGTGAATGCGGAAACACAGTAATTACAAAGAACATGAAAAATGAAGAGTTAGTTTAATAATGGATATTACAAGAAATAATGTTTGGTATTTGCTGGAGTTGTCCAAATGTACAGTCACCAACTGCAATACATGCATTACAGTGATAATGGAGTGACTGGTAAATACTTTGGAAGTTTCCTGTGGCAACACACCACTTGGTTTTTGGCAAAATTTTGACCACCTTCCATTTGACAACACCCTGTATACTTTTAAGTGAGTGGGTTAATGTATATTTTTCTCAGAAATATTGAGCGATTAAGGTTGGAAGACTCTTTGTAGGTAATGTTTTCTTTGTGAGTAATGTTTTATGTCAATTTCACTTCAAATTAATTTTTAGAACCTGAAAACATATTGTGCACTTGAAATAGTCGTATAATTTTAAAATTATCACTGAATGCAATGTCTTTTTATATTAACACTTAAGGTATTTTGCATTACATGTTACATAATACTTTGTTTAACATTATGTTACTTTTTTTTCCAGTTAAGTTGAGTGGATACAGACGCAGCCTTCCAAATTTAAATCGTGAACCTCTAGCATTAAGACAATCAAAAAATAAACCAATTACTAGGGGTCGAATGTCAAGTCCAAGCTATAATAAAGAAGTCGAAAGGAAATCTGACTCAAGTGTACAGATTGGCCAAAAAGTATAATTTTTTAAACTGTTTAATGTTTTTAAAAAAATTATTAGGCTGTTTTAAAATGCCTGATAAGGACTGTATGAATAGCTTGTGTATTTTACTTTTTGGGTACTTATGTAGTATCCCATCACCTGTGAAACCTTTGCCAAACAGCCTGATTTAGCAGTAGTTATATAAAAGTGTGATATCACAACACTCATAACATCTTGCACTTTCATTTAGTCTAATTGATTCTCGATTAGCCACCTTTTATTTTTATGAACAAAGATATAAATTAACTGTAATTGCCATATGTTCCCCCTTGCATTTTGAAAACAGTGAGTTTGATGAGTGCAGAATCACATTTTTGACTGCACTCCAGTTCATTTGCAGCTGATTGAGAGAATTAACATCTGTTGAATAGTTAAAAGAGCATCTGGATATAACCGACAAAATAGCAGTAGATTGGGACACACCTGCAAAAGGTTATATTCATAGCATTCTAAGCAGAGCTTTTGGTAAAATCTGAGAGCATGACAAAATAGTAAAAATTGATGAAAGCCCTCTTATTAATAATAATAATAATAATAATAATAATAAAAAAAAAAAAAAAAAAAAAAGGCCAAATACTTCTGCATTAGTGGTTGTGCAGGGAGAATGATGAGTAGTTTGTTGCAAGAGCTGCGGATAGAAATGCAGCTCAGAATTCCACAGGTATGATTGGCACAACTTTGGCGAAGACCCAGCAAGCTCTCACAGCCGATGAGGTAAAACATAAGTACCAATTTTTTGTACTTGATATGCTGCTCTAAAAAGATGTATTAGTTATTTAATTTTTGTATGCTTGTTTTATGCTTTAAATTAGCTCGTTAAAAAAAAGTAATATTGAATTTGATGCAGATACTTGTTCATCTATGTTTTCTTCAAGAAATATTTTTTAAAGGATTTTAAAATCATAGTGTGTTTCTCATTTATTTACAAATACTTGAAAGTGAATCTCCAGGTGTTATATGTTTATTAACAGAAAAAAGTATTACTAGCAATTGTTATATAATTTAAAAAAATTGTAAAATGCTACGAATTTAACTCTTCATTGGAATAATACTTTGAATAAAAGATTCCAAAGCAGATCTAATTCAGTGTATCCATATCAAAAATATGAAAAGCAAAAGCAAAAGTCTACATTATTTGAAACATCAGAGAATGCTGAATGTGCACATTAGGTTTGTTGGGAGCATGGGAGGTCTCATCCTTTTTGATGCATCAAGCTGGATTTCAGAAAGAGGCAGAATGGAGTGAAATTTCAAAGATCTAAAATATCCCATGGGAAACTGGTACAGTCAAATACCGAAAATCCGCCGACCTGAAATCCATGTTGCCTCTCAAAATATAAACATTTAGTTTATAGGTTCCGGAAACTGCAACATTTCGCGAAGAAAAAATAGTTACGTCATACTTACCAAATAATAATGAGTCATAACGGAAACCAAATTGTTGACATCATGATAAAATTTTACCCCCTCTAATCTGCATCAAGGTAAAACAACTCTTCTTTCAAGTTCACGATTCACGTTGTATTTTCTGAGCTTTTGTTATTTCATGAGATTATTTAGTGCTGCCTTTTTTTTTTTAATCCGGATATTTTGGGGATGTTAAGAAGAATTAAGAATATTTTAAATTTCAGCCCTTTTTAATACAAAGACAGATAAGAAACGCACTAATGATTTTACTACTTGCAACGTTGAAAAATGTAAACACATTGCATTGGCGCTAATGCAAAAAGTGCAAATTCTGCAAAAGATGGTTGCAGGTGCTCCTCCTCGTTTATGAGCAGAATCGTATGGAATAGCGACACAATTGTGTATGATATACAGAAAAATATAGAAAAACTGTTGAAATTTTACAGCAACAGTGATTCTAACACCGGAAATAATTATTCGAAGTTCAGATTTTGAGTGTGAAGGTGCAGTTGCCCCTCTCTCCCTATTTTTAACTTCGCTAATCTTCTTGTCCTTTGTGTTTGATCAGATAGCCTGGCTCAGTAAAAGTAGGCAACCAGTGTAACTCTGATTAAAAATCCGGTTATAACCACGTGCAGTGCTGATAAGGACCACGTTTCTGAGACTCCTTCCCCTTTATTTTTCTTCTTTCTCCTGATGAGGAGGGACCTTTAGCTGCGCTCGAAATCGATTGAGTGTTTCAGTATACTTACGCTAAATACAAGGTTGATTTTACGATTTTGATTGTCACATTAGCGTGTTTCTCTTCTAGTCTAGATATACAAATGATTAGAAATGCAGCATCATTTTATAATGCCACTAGAGGGCATTGAATTTCGTTCTTCTTGGAGTATAAAACACGTAAGCAGAGCTTGTTTGAGCGTACTTAATCTGTTGCTAAGAAAACGCTGAGTTAGACATGCCATTATGCCACCATCGTAGCCAATATCAGCAACTGTCCGAGTTCGAGAGGCAAAGAATTATCAGGATGATAGAAGCTGGGTGGTCAGCTCAGCGACTAGCTCATCAGGTAGGCCATTCTAATTTTATTATGAGGAGGTGTTGAAACCAGTGGACATCCATACGGAACTTGTATGCCTCAATGCCCACTCGTATTGCAACGTGCATTCGTGCTAGAGGTGATCCAACAGAGTGCTAAAACTTCTGTTCATGTGTACTTTTTCCTGCAATAAATGTTCCTTTTTTTTCGTTGATTTTCTAATCACTCACTTATATCAAAGTAGTACTTACGTATGTAAAATTTCGTTTCATCTGACAACTTTTTCTTGGTGCGCAAATTTTTATGGCAATGAGTGTAACATCGTATATAAATGTAATAGATATCTTAGTTATTACTTGCATAAATTAAAACAATAATCAGCCATGCAGAAGAGGTTACAAGTGAAAACAATGTGGTTAAAAGTGTCGCGGGTAAAACGGTGCAAGAAAAAAATATCATCATGGAAGAAAAGAAAGCAAGGGGACCATTGTGAAGTAAAACATTGACATAGAAAATAAAATGATTAAAAATTGTTATAATTTTAAAACATCATCATGAGAAACATTGTGGTAAAAAATAAAGCACATTAAAATTATTACATGATCATAATATCACAGACATCTGGTTTCAGAATTCAAAAGTTTTAAATACATGTTCATATAATGAATTGTGAGTGGAAGAATGGGTAAGGAATATTTTATCTCTATATTTCATATTTTTAAATTAACAAATAAATATTTATTTAAAAACAAACATAAAATTCAAAATTTACGTATAGCATTAATTTCCTACTGGAAATTAGTAGAAAATTAATGCTACGTGTAGCAGTTTATAGAATTTTTACTTAACTACCAAGCTTTTTTTAGGGATTAGGACATACATTCTTGAAATTGCTGCAAATTCTGAATGTCCTCAGCATTAAATGAGGTTCAAAAAAGTTTCGTCTACCATGGGGATCGTAAAATTTGTTACTTAATGTGGAGCAGACAGTGGTAGAAACTGTAGATTTGTTTTTCTGTTCTTTGCTGGCTAAATAATTGACCAAATGGCTATAATGCATAAATAAAGTATTGTCTCTACAGCCCAAGGGAAATGCTTATAATCTTTTTTATAAAGCTTAAGTGGTAGTAATCTCTTTTACATAGTGTGATTTGTTGTGCAACCATGCATTTAGAGCTTTTAAAATCTGAAGACGCACATCTGCGATGCTATCATCATCTGCTGATTTGAAGATTTTAAATTTTTACCACAATATTTTCTACTAGAATATTTTAAAACCACTTAGTTTTTGAATTGCTTTATTTTGTACATTGTTTCTTGCCACGTTGTTTTAGAACTGTGGTATTTACTCTGCTTTCTTTTCTTCCATGATTTTCCGCCCTTACATTGTTTTCTCTGCAACATTTTTGTCTGTGATGTGTTCGAAGGACACTAGAAGACAAGCCTGAAATGTGCATAAAGCTTGCACAGGATGAGCCTGGTGTCATGCATATTTCAAGTACGTGGTGTTAGATGCATCATGTCTTTCTGATCAAACCAAAGATAAATAGAATCATCCATTTTTATGCTAATTTTTAATTTTTTTAATTATTTTGTATGGACTTCGTACCTGTGTGCACATTGTAATGTAGTAAAGAAAAAAAGAGTACGATATATTTTATTTTTTATACATATTTGCAACATCCGTTAGAGTTTTATTAGATTTATAAAATGATTTTAACTGTAAGTTGGAGTTCCTATTTGGCCTTTTATACTTGCCTGATTGGAAAGATTTTTAATACCTCATATTCTGTACTTTTGTTGATGAGGAATTTTTAGTGCTTTAAGCTTTCAATTTATTATAGTTCCTTTTCTCAGTTTTGTTGTCTAAAAATACTTTTAATCTTTTTTTTTTTTAACCCTAAAACGCTATTTTATAACTATCGAAACTTATCACACTTACCTTCTGTATGAGCAAAGTTTCAGTAATATACACTAAAAACAAAACATAATAATTATATTTTATTTCTTATAATAATAAAAATTTTATTACAATTGTAACAATGCTGGTCATGATTCTAGCAGTAGTGAAAATTAATATAAAGTAATAATTCCATAATTATTACATTGCTGATCTTGTTCTTAATAGTAATAGAAAATAATATACAGTGAACCTTAGCTCACAAATTTAATTCATTCCTGAAGGCTATTCATCTACTGAAATAATTTCCCCCCATAGGAATTAATGTCAATTGTGTTAATTTGTGGCAGTCCTGAAGCGTGAGGTCAGCTTGTGTGCTATTGGTCATCACTGCTTGCAAGTTCCTGATGTCCTTGATTTTGGGATTTGATTATGGACCTGTTATGTGGCAGTTAAATACCGTACCACTCTTGCAAAAGACTTCCTTATAGTAGATTTATATATTTGAACTGCTTTATGAAGCAAAGATATGATTGGGCTCATACTCCCCCCCCAAAAAAAATATGTTTAATGGGGGATGACGAGGTGCATTTTGTCAGGACTGAGTCCGCGTTATGGGCATGGTTGCAAGCCCTGTGCGCATTTTGTCAGGACTGAGTCCGTGTTATGGGCATGGTTACAAGCCCTGTGCATTGATGTGATTGATCTTTACATCGCTGGGCTGCAGCTCCAGTACATGGGCATGCCTAGTTGGACCCATTTTACACTGTGGAACATGGCATCATGATGCATGTGATGTAGTTCATTTGTTTCCAGGTGGGTAGAGGTGGTGGTTCTTGTCACAGAAACATGGTGCATGTTTTCTCGATGCCCTTGGTGACATTAAATGACCTCCAGATTCAATCATGATATAATGGCAGTAAAATATTGTACTGCTATCACAAGAGAGCTCCTGTGTGGTAGATTTTGGTATTTAAACTGCTTCTTGGGGCAAATGTATGGTTGGCTCTTGGAGTTGCTACAGATTCATTCCTGGACCATATCTGATACCATATTTAAATTTCACAGCAGTCAATTCCCAAGCCAGTCATATCAGTAACCCCAAAGTAGCCCCAAACCAATTCAATAAACAAAACACAATATTAAACAGTTAAAATAAACAATAATTGAATTTTGAAGTACCTGTACGAAGAAGGGTGAATGGCATAAGTGGAAAATGATGAGAAAGTTATTGTTTGGGTGTGAAATTCCTCTCCATAAAAACATCATGTAACTGTCTTTAGGAAGCATCTTCTTTTAACACACTATGCACCACCTGGACTCTGCTCGAGACTCGCTGAGACTCCATTTCACCTAAAATTTGCCTAATATGATTTGTTATTACCTACATGTTGAAATGTTTGTAAAGTGAGGCATACGGCATTGTCATTGAAATGCTATTTGATCAAAGCGATATCACTGCTTGAAAGTTTTCCTTCTAACCCCATTTTACATAAACTTTGCCAATCAGAATTTTCTTCTCAAAATGTTTCTTCCACAGTTGTCTTTTGTTGCTGCTTTTGAAGTTATTGTCATTCTTATTCAGCTTATTGTAGGGTTCTGGTATAATTTCTATACTTCTTCATTATTAGCTTCCTAACCCATGGTTTTGCCTTTAGAGATACAGTATTCTAAATGTGTGGGAAAATGAGGTGATGTCACTCAATAAAATTATGACGAATTCTTTTCACTACCACAAATTACTTAATAGTTATAATGATTACTTAATAATTATAACAGTTACAGTATATTAAAACAGTTGTTTAGCACCTCTTCATGCTAGTCGAACGCGAGGAAGTTTTATATTGCTTTATTTATTTACATAGTCACATGGCGCCTGCTCACACTCACAAAATAAAATCTAAACTGAAAGTCCATTGCCACCTTCACGTGGTCTGACACCTGGCCTGTCATGTAGTGCCTGAATAACAGGCCAGGTGCCAGCCTGTTATTCTGGTGACTGCAAAACTTAACACTCTTACATAAATAACAAAAAAGGTCAGAGCCTTCGAAGTGTCTGCTTTCAGCACAGTCTGGCCATAATTTCTTCCAGGTCAAATCCAAATTCCTAAGTCATTCACTGCCAGGCTTCCTTTGAAAATTAAGCAGTGGAAAATATTAAAGTGATGTTTCCAGAAGCCATTGAGTGTTAATTATTTGGCATACGTTACCTTAAAATACTTTTGAAAATCATGTTATTGACTTGGATGTTCAAGACTTTATCATCTAAGGTATTTTATATCCAGGTAATTTGTTCATGATGGGAGGCATTCATAGTCCGAGGTTTCACTGTACCGTTTTTCTACAATTTTATTATTTTGTACCATTTGTATTATTATTTTTTTTACAATTGTATTATTTGTATTAAAAAACAGTGCAAAATAATACCATTATAACTACAACAACATATTGGCATTCCCTGTTCCGTGAACCATTTATCACACTACAGGTCCCCCCACTCCTTAGAACCAGGTGCGGAGGTTCAACCTCCACTCTGGCCCCTCAGAGATGGAGGGGCACCACCCAGGTAGTCACCCGGGACGGCACTGGTCGTTATTTGCTACCTACCAGTCGCTCGGGCTGCCCGTCGCAGTGGGTCAATACCCAGCGTACCCGGGGGAATCCCCGGGCTACTAGTTCCACACTGCACTAGAACATGCCAGACCTTGAGGCAGGCCAATAAATGACCTTTCCCACCTTCAGAACCACCAAGTTCATAAATTTTATACCCCCGTTGCCGAGACTGCTTAGGTACAGATCCTAGCCCAGTAGCTTCGCAGAATTCTCTACGTCGACGTCCGGAGGGGGGGGCATTATAACTACAGTAATTTTATTTTGAACAATTATAAAAAAGTTATTTTCCTGAATTTCAGTACGACAAACATATGAGAACATATGTATTGTTTTCAGTGACATGCTGTCAGAGGGTTAGCAGCCTTGAATGTGCTGTTAACTGCTGGCAGTAGGTGATGCAAAATTTAAATTTTCTCACCATTGCTCAGAAACGAAATTAATTTAACTTTTACTAAATGCTACTGAAATGTACTCTTAACGTATTCTTTAAATACAGTTGTTTCAAGGCTGTATAAATTTTGTGAAATTTTTTTTTTCTTCCCTTTTATGTTTGAAATTGTAATCTGTGAACCCTTATTTTCCAAGCAGCTTTTTAAAAATTTAAGGAAATTTCAGGTATTGTGTTTTTATGTATAGAGTATTCAGTATGTGCTGCTTCCTGGGATTCATCTTTGAAATGTAACTTCCATTATTATTTCACTAGTTTTAGATGTGCTTGCATAATAAATTGTGGTAACACAGATGTCAGTAATGGAAGTTTTGTGTATATGTATTTCTATGTTATTTCATATTATAGTATTAAGTTTATTATTCGATAATGTTTATTTAGAACAGAAGAGAGTTTTTGTCTCCATCAAGATTAAGGCAACCATCTCATCAGATGCCACCTGGTCATTCTAATTTTGATTCACCCTCCAATTCTCAACCTGCCACCACAGTGCCTAGAAGTGCGGATTCTACCAAATTAAAATTGCACGCTCGATCTGGATTACCTCGTCCATCTAGGGCTAGTTCTGCTACACGCTCATCTGTTCGGTAATGACATAATTGTTATGCAGATATAGCATATGTATTTTGCTGTAACATGTGTAATCTGTATGAGCAGAATGATGAAGCTCAGCAGGATACAAAAATGCATTTAAAGGGAAGCTAATTTTATTAAAGAAAATTTGAGTAATATTTGTTTTTAAAACGTGAATAGTGTGTCCAGTTTTCAATTGTTTTATTATATCTGAAATAGCATAAAATATTTTATTTAAAGCTGTGAAAAGAGCATAATAATAATAATGATAATTAATTGCATATAAACGACAGAAACATTAAAATGTGAGTTATCTAATAAAATTTCAGCCTATATAAAATTTTGAGCCATATGAGATGAAAAGGAGGATCTATAATCTGTTTTGCTGCATGTATGGTTTTGAGAATCTGGTGGTAAAGGAAGATGGAATTGAGACTTTTGAATATTCCATTTTATGAGAGCATTTGGTCGAAATTGGCATGGAGCATAGGCAGTGGAGGGAAAACTTAGAATTAAATTTTTAGAGAAACATAATATATTCGTGACTGAGACACATATATTCGGATTGAAATACAAAGATCTGGGGATTTTGAGAGCAAACCTTTAAATTTTAATGGAATGGAGGAAGTACATAGACTTCATTATCCTTTAACTGGAATTTTCAATACTTAAGTATTAATGCAATGATCTTTGTGCAGTTTGGTAATTTTTTTAGGAAAAGTTAATCTTCACAATTATAAAAATTTATTACTTAAATAAATGTTTTACATTACAATTAAGAATTTAACTGAAACTCAATCAATAAACCTACTTAAAAACTATTTTTCATTTCTTCTGTTCTGATGCTCACTTAGAATAAACTCAGAACAATCATTTTCCTTTGCTGATTTTGGAGCAATTTCTCTGATTTAGGTTTTCACCAGCTTCCTGTGAAGAAATGAAAAAAGAGAATTGGTACTTGTGCTCCTTCGCTCTTTAGTCACTGCAGTGAGCTATTTCTGGGACAATTTATAATGGACTGCAAAATAATCACAAACCATAATATTAAGCATTGAAAAACGTATGTACTTGATTTGAAGGACTATACCATCAATTAAAAAAGGATAGAGGTACCTAGAAGATTTTGTCAAATGCATGATGTGAAGTGAAGACTATTGTTTACTGAGATACAATAAAATGATAAATGTGAGCCTCCTGCATGCAGTCGGACAGACTGCAATTAGAACTGAGATTTGAATAGCTGATGTTTATCAATCATCAAAGATGTTACCTTTCCTGACCATATTTGCTGGATGTCATGCCACTCTAAAGCTGCATTAACACTAGTCCATTGGAGCGAAAAGAATAAACGAAAAAAAAAAAAAAAAAAAGGTTTACACATATGTCTGTTCACACCAGGGCAGAAACTTTAAAAGTTGTCATATGTGCACATGTATGTAATGTATGAGATTATGTATGAGAAGCAGAAAGCAGTGGAATATGTGAGTGATGCAAATATATTAATAGAAGAAGTTAGTGAGAAAGACATGGGAATGGTCTTTTAATTACTTTCTCATAACGCATCATCATTCCTATGAATTTGTAGCTCTATTTAATCATTTATCCAAAAAACAGAACACTAATTTTAGTCTGAATATTGCAGAAAAGAATCCTTTGGAAAATAAGAAAAGGATCTTTATACAGTACAAAGGTCCAAAATCCGGATGTATATTATCCGGAATGATCTAAATCTGGTCCTCATTTTCTCGTAGGCTTTACGCATGCACATTTGATTCCCCTCTTCATGCATAATAAAACATCTGGAGAATCCCGATTTTTAATTTCACTTCAACACTAAATAAAATACCTTGTTATTGATGAAACAATCATTTTAGCATAAATTTGTACATTAATTTGACTCCGTTGTTGCATATCTGCTTGTCACACATCTCAAGCCGAAACATTCCATATAGATACATCGTTGATTTGACAGGAACCGGGGTAATCATTATTTATTATACTTTCCTTTCATCACCACATGTTTATCAAACATGACAACTTGAGTAGTGACTAATGTAGCGATGCCTAAACACTTTTTTTATGTTAGTAGTTGAATAATAAAGGAGTATGGTAACCTTTTATGTTGACATTATGCTTCGCAATGATTACAGATTTAACTTAAATGCAATGTTGACGAGGAAAAATTTAACAAAAATTTCTTTGCATATGCTAAAAATAGATTTTGTAGATGAGACTCATAAACCCAAAGATTACATTTAGGGCTATTTGAATTAAGAATAACTGATTTGTTATTCACATAAGCCCAAAACCAGTGCCAGGGGTCATATGGCCGCACTGGGTCGCAGATTTTAGGACCCACGGAGACTGCATCAGACGGTAAGATATCTAGCACCGGCCCTCAATAAGGCTTAAGTATATATGGGAATTAATTTATTCAGAACTCTGATAAGCCTTAAGCATGTGCAAGAAGTAGACATAAGTATAATAAATAACTAATACAATTCAGGCTTAATTGTCTCGGTGCGTGATGGAAGCAAGATAAAATTTAATGGAACCACTTATCGTTAGTTGCCAAACTCATGATGCATAGCCAAATATGTATAGTGAACAATAGCTAAACCTGATGATGATAGCCGCTAATTTTAAAGGTTTTCGGATATCGCAAAACAAAGGTGAAATTTTCCAATTAACAAATTTTGTAAAGAAATGTGGAGAAGCAGTAATAAATGAAGATGATATAAAAGAAATTTTTCATTGTGATGACAGTGCTTCTCAATCATCAATCAGTTAATGAATGGCGAAATCTGTAGTATGGTTCTAGATCCAGAAAATACCACTACCGATAGTGAAGAAAGTGACAAAAACTTTCAATTGACAAGTTAGTCGGAATTCTCGAAACAGCAGTTATAGGACTTCAACAATGTAACTGAGCAGGAGATTATGTCTGTCTACATAATTAAAGAGAAAGTATTAGCTAAAAAACAAAGCAACTTAAACAACTTATGAAAGAAATGTTTAATAATGTAAACAAATAAATATTAAGCCTTTTTTTTTTTTTGGTAAATTTTGATACCCTTTAGATCATAAATACTTCATTATTTCATAAATCTCGATTTCTTATTTTTAATTTTATAATTTAACATGCCATCTTACTAGATTTAAACTGATGATCTAATATGCAGAAAAATCCCAAATCCAATCACTGAAGTCCCAACGATTCCAGATTTCAGACTTTGTACTGTATATATCTAATTTACATTATTTATGAATTCTGTTGAATGGTAAAGATTCGTAATTGTATATTTCAGTTTTAGAGAGTGAATTTTTCATGAGGCAAAAACAGCATAAAATTTCTTGCATGGTCTATGAACTTTCCTTAATGTAATTGCTAAAATAAATGTAATAAAAATTATTTAAATGTATGTAGGCATATTTGAAAAAAAAATAATGCATATCATTTACCTTAACTATAACTGTGATTAATTCAATTAGTTGTTCATATATTAATGAGAAGCCATTGTCTAAAGTTTTATTTTATAAAGTCACTTTTGTCTTTAAAACTCAGTGAAGTAACTATTTTATATAATATACCTTTTCCTGTTTTAAAAATTGCATTACACAATAAATTAGTAAATTTGCTAATCTTGTGCAAGTCTTCTTTAAATTAATGAAAATTTATCATCAAGATTAAACCTCTGGCTAAGTTCTTACATAAAATTATCAGAAAAGTGGTCATGTTTAGGAAAACATGTATGGAAAGTGGTGACAAGCATCCTATGAACTTGCTTTTCAGTGGTCGCTACTTTCCGCCCCAATGTGTGATCGTGTTGGTGTGAACTGGGCTTAAACAACTAGAAAAAATTACTAGACTTTAGGTGGGAGTTATTTACACCCACAAGGTATTCTTCTAACCCTGCTCTTGCAAAATACCATCTCTACAATAATTTCAGGAATTCTTCACTCTCTAAATCATCGACAATGTAAAAACAGCATCACAAACACCTTTCTGACTCTAAAACAGAGAGCTTTCATTGATGTAAGAGAAACTACCTACCAGGTAGGAAGGCTAGAGGTCGTACTGAATATTAGCAATTATATAAAATTACAGCTATTTTATATTTTCTACTCTTCATTCTTCTTTTTAGATTAAACCATGTATAACTGGGCACACACCTTATCCTTGATGATAAACAGTGGTCAATACTCTAGCTGGAACATGACAAGAATATATGTAGGGACTGAGAAACTGAAGCTATAAAGTTCTGGGAATCTCCACCCTCTTTTTATTTATGTAGAAAATTTTAGGAATTACAGCATGAATGCTTTCACATTTTTCCGTGTATTTAACATAAATAAGATCAAGTTTCCTTTAAAATGTTTTGCACAAAAGCATTTAAATGGCTGTTAATTTCTAAGCCTTATGTTTGACATGTAACCACACAGGCATGGAAAATAATTATTCCTTTATGAAAATACAGGGTCATTCTTTTAGAACTGGCAAATTTCATTGGACACTAGTTCTGTTAAAAAGTCTCTGATTTTAATGCGGTTTACGGCAAAAGATTCAGGATGGAGGAAAATTTAGTGGTCCGTCCCGTTTTTGGATGTGCATGCTGAAAAAAGAAGAAGTAACGAAAACTGCGAAATGCTATACAATCAGGGATTGTTTGCGCCTGTAGAGCGAGCGTATTGAAAACTCTAATTCCCATGTGTCATACCAAACGTGACTAATAAAAGTTTGTAAAGGTTATAAATGTTTATAATCACTTACCCTACAGTAGGTGTTGAAAATGTCCACCTTCCTGGCATAGACATAACTGAACTCGTCCCTCCATGTTTGCTGCAGCACTCCGCAAAGTGTCAGCAGTGATGTTTGTAATTTCCCTGGGAATGTTGGCCTTTAATTCGTCCAGTATCCATAATTTATCGTGATAGACACGACCCTTCAGAAAACCCCGTAAGAAATCTGGGGATGATAGATCTGGTGACCCAGAGGCCACAAACCTTTGGAAAT